GGTGAGGGGGGGGGCTCTGCAGCTTACGTGGCTGCTTCTTGCTCTGACTGAGTGCTGCTGGGAGCAGGGGGCAGGGCTTGTTGCATATGCCCGCCCCCTGGGCTCTTTACTGCCGGAGCTCGGCTCCTGTGCGCTCCTGCAGGAAATGACCGCTGGGAAGGGACAAAGCAAATATGCCGCCCTTGCTGACTGAGACCTGGGCAAACATGGCTGCTGCTTCTGAGCCCGATATCTGAGCCTACAGTGCCCACTAGCCCCTTCCCCCGCAATCCATCACAGGTCTTTTGGAGGGCAGCTATTTGGGGGGGCTGCTTTCCGGGCCCCCTCCTCCACCGCTTTATATTTATATATATATAATATCTGTATAATTACATGATCTTATGGTTCACTATTAATGCTGTCATGCTTCTTCAACTTTTACAGAAAATTTAACTGAAAATTAACAGATCTTTTTAACATGTTCTAATGGCCTTTTGCCTTTCATTTATAATTACTCTAAGAAGCATCGTTTTCTGTCACAGCTTCTATTTTTGAAACATTTGCTGGTTTGCACAGATCATAAAGAGAAAGCTCCAGGGCCCTCTTGATGGTGGGATTTTTTTAAAAAAAAGTATTTCAAGGCAACCATGATGTCTAAACACACTCCCCCCCCATGCCTAGCATTTAATTTAAAAGCCTGAACCTCCAAAGGCGGACAATCCTGAAGACTGGTGACACCATAGAAAATAGCAAAGGTAAAAAATAACAAACACTCATTAACTTATTATATTACAAATTCACAGTTTTTCTGTGATGCTTTCATGAGATTAAACCAGGGAGTGGCTTCATTGCCTGTTAATCCTTATGAACAGCAGGGAACAAACAGGTTAACATTTGTGTTTTCACTGTCACTGTCAACTAACATGGAACAAAAAAGGGCTTGCATAGGTCGCCTTGCTTTTGACTGACCAGCTTAAATACATTTACATGTTGCAGTATCTTGTTTTTGTTTAGAGTCCTGCAGGACAGAGTCGTTTCTCTTACATGTGAGAATTAATCTCCTTAGAAGGCTGGTCGCTTCCCCTGCAGTGGTTCTCCTTGGCCATTTCCCCTCCATACCTTGCCTTGCTAGGGTTCTCGATCATCCATTTCCTTCTTCCCTTTGCCCCCAAACAACTATTCCCTGCCTGCTCTGGGCCCCACCTCAGGGCCTGTCCTTTCCCCTCTACTTTAGCCCATCTCCATGATATCCACCGAGGAATATGTATGGAACTGCAGTGAAGGGAGTAGCGAGCCCTTGTGTAACGAGCAGGATTCTCTAAGTGGGGAAAGGAAATGCCAAAGAAAATGCTTGTTCCTCACATTATATACAATATGTGTCCCTGCTTCCCAAAGACCTGCACAGTCACCCAGGCATGGGGACGGTCTTTTCTCAGCACACGGGAATGGAGGGCCTGTGGGTTGCTAGGCATTGGGGTTGGCAACCAGTGGGAAGGTAGTGGAGGGGGTCCTGGGAGAATAATTCAACAGAAGAAAAAGGCCCCCATCTACTTACAGGAAGTTCTTACCACAGAGTACCTGGTGACCCCTAGAGCTACCCGGAAGTGACAACGGGTAGCTCTAAGAATCACTGGGAACTCTATGGTAAGAACATCTTTTAAGTAGATGAGGCCTTACTTTTCTTCTGAATTTTTCTCCCACGGCCACTTGCAGCTGTGATGGGCATTGGGACTTGAGGGGAGGGGATTCCTGCCAGGAGCTTGGCAACCTTCCGAACTACCTGTACAGAGCAGACAGCACCTGTTCAGTGCTACGGTCTCTGTATTCATGTAGCTGTGCAGAGAGGCTCAGTTAAATATCAACAAGTGCTGAGCCAACATTCTCCCTTAGTTGTTTATTCCCATGCCATCACCCAGGGCAGAAAGGGGCCTTTGGGGAGGCTCCCTCCCAGCTTGCAAGTCTTGAAAGTCCCTCCCAGCTGAAAGTGGAACTGTAATGGTGGCAACTCCCCAACAAAGAAACAGAAAAGACAAGGAAGGGGGGCGGGCTTACTGCGCTCATGAGAGAGTCCAGTACGCTGACTGCAAATGCAGTTCCACACGCAAAGGGCTGAGTGAGATACAGTTCGGTATCGGGGTCGTCGTCGTCATCTTGGTCCAAAAACTGAACATTTGAATCGTTCACTAAAAAGATAATGATTAAATATATACATATATATTTATATATATACACACACACATTAATACATGTACACAGAGAAAGTGGTTTCCAAGTACCAGCAGATGGCCTTTACATACTACATGTGAAGGGGGGGGGGCAAAAGTGATTTCCTCTGGTGGGGAATTTGTGGCACTCTCTGGAGTCTGGGTGCACTAACAACAGGAGAGACTGCCTTGTTAGGAGGAGAGAACAGCTCAAGTTTCATGTTGCGAAACAGAAGTCCGACTCCCACCAAACCCTCTCTCAGCTCAAAAACCTGGTTTCTTTTAATTGGTCTGGGGCAGTGCATTTAAGGTATGTGTTGTGCTGGAAACTGTGCTGCACTACACACAATGCAGGGAACCCAACCCAGCAGGGAGGGGGATTTTGAGAACATCTCCCTCCCCCATGCAGATTTAAGCTGACCTTCTGTTTTCTGCTTCTGTTTTAGGTATATAAACCAGGGCATGGGGCTTGAGCAAAGAAAAGAACCATAGGGGGGCCATTGTTTGTTGTTTATGGCCAGGACATACCAAAAAAAAATTAAATAAAAGTAAACCATGCAAGAACAATTACTGGAATGAGGAGCTAAAGGCACAGAGACACATTAAGATTATCATATGCCCTCTGGGGGCAGGAAATCTTCCACCCCCAGATCCTGTTGCCTGCTGCAGGGGAA